GGGAAAAAAAAAAAAAAAAAAAAAAAAAAAAAAAAAAAGAATGTGTCTTGCTTTTTTATAAAAATTAAGTGAGTCGTGGTTACAAATGTCTTAATAAATTAGAAAATAATCAGCCAACTCCCACTTTTCTTCCTGCATCTCTTTAGACTTCTCTTTTGAAATATCTAGTTCATGCATCTAATGCAGATTACAACTGTGGACTAGCATGTTTCACCACAAAGAAATAAGGAAAAGCCCCAATCCAGAGTGGTAGGGATTCAGGAGGAGTTTTTACCTGTGGGAAGACAAGAGGTCTAGCAGCCCAGCCCACAGGGGAGTCTGCGCTGCCCGTGCGGCCGTGCACTCAGTGTCAGGAACTGTTGCAGGCAAGTGTCTCTGCATTGGCCTGGGGAGGGACTCACCCAGAGCTGCCCCCACTCTCCAGGTCCCAGACTGCTGTGGCGAGCTTGGGACCAGGATCAGCCCTTGGCTTACGCCTTGCGCCCTGGGGATGGACAGTCCAGTGCAGCAAGGGGGTCGGCGCCCGCGTGCACCCTCCAGACCTAAAATACAGCTTATTTAGGTCTGGCTGACGACCCCGTCTACACTGGCAGGATGCCCTTACAATACTGATAGCTGTGAGGAGCAGGAGGCGAACTCACACGCCTCTCCCAGGGGCGGCCTCTGTGGCCACACGCCTGTTGCTGGGAAATCCTGGTGGCAAATGCGGCTGAACTAACCCAGGGAACAGCACATGCTAAACCACCCCCAGCCCCCAAGCCCCAGGTTTCTGCCCAGGTAGCAGATTGGAGATTGGCCCCATCTCCTGAGACCATTTCTCTCTGGCCCCCCTAGCGGTTTTACTCCCGTGTGGCCACATCATTGCTCTGGTTTGCCCACACCTGTGTCCATGTGGCATCCTGCGCCCTGGGAACAGATGGTCCAGTACAACGCGAGTGCACCGACAGAGGGGGTCAGCACGTACACTTTACAGAGTCAGAAAACTGCCTAACTGGGGCACCAATCCACTGCTGGCAACCCCACCTTCTTTGGTGAGGGGCTTGTGTAACCCATGTAGCCATAAGGAGGTAATGGAGAACTGGTAAGCCTCTCTCCAGTACAGACCCACACCTGCAGCACCAGTGAGCTCGCACAGGGCTGGATGCCCCAGTAAGTCACCCATAGCCTCAGTGACCTCACGCAGGACAGCCCCACCCCATCTGCGGAAATCCAGAGAATTCCAGTAGTGCTCTTAGGATCACAGGGCCCTGTCCACAACCACAATGGCCTTGGCCAGAGTAACCACACCTGCTGAACAGCTATAGAGGGCCACAGCACCCCTTTTGGGGTCAAAGGTTCCCACCCAAAACTGCCAATACCTCATCCAGAATATCCCACTTGAACAGTAGTGGGGCAGACCATCCAGTGTCCTGCCTGAAAGCACAGGGTCCCACACCAAATCCATTGACCCCACTGAGCATCACCGACTTCAACAGTAAAGCTATGGAGTACCTCAACACCTCTCCTGGGGGTACACGGCTCTGCACAGAGCTCCAGTTACACAATTGAGTCATCCACTGGAGCTGAGGGGCTGCTAAGCACCCAAATATCCCCCTCAAAGACTAAAGTCCTAATCTCCACCCCCAGGAACTCAGCCTAGGGACATCCATTTAAACTGAGAACCTTCAGATCACCCTAAGAGCACTACTGGAACACCCTGCATCTTCCCAGCTGGGGTGGGCTGTCCCACATGAGGTCACTGGGGCTGTGGGTGGGCCACTGTGCCCACAAGAGAGATGCTGGATCACTCTGAACCCCCCCATAATAGGGGCGGGCGGCACTGGGTAGGTGCAGGATGCCACATGGACACAGGTATGAGCATGCCTAAGGAACTGTTTAGAATTGAAGCATTTTTACAAACTCTATAAAGCTAATAAAGTGATTACACCAAGGTAATTATATCACTTATCTTTGCTGCTGAGTTTTCACATAAAAGCTCTTCTTTGTTGATTAGTTGGTGCTAATATGGCCACATATATTGATCCATCTGTTAATATTTGTGACAAAATATGCATTACAAAATATACCATTTTAATTAAGTGTACAGTTCAGTGGCATTAAAAACAGTTGGCCTTCCATACATGGGTTCCACATTCATAGATCAAACAAAACACAGATGAAAAAAAATTTTTTTTTCACAAACTTTTATTTTTTATTGCCTGGCCTGGAAGTAACACATACTGCCCGTCTCCATACTCTCCTGAATAGAGCTAAATTACATGGTTCCACACACAATAATTAAAGGCTGAGATTGCAGGCATCTGTACAAGAGAAAAAAGGTGTTTTGAAGAAAATACATAGCCAGTCAAATCCATACAACATTTTCCCCCTGTGTAAATTATTTCATGGCTGCTGCAATGTGAGTTCTTTTTACTTTACTTTTCTTTTTTGTTTTTTCAGTGGCTGGTCAGTACAGTGAACCATGGTGTTATCAGCACCATGCTCTAACCAACAATATACTAACTATACTCAGTCCTGTAACTGTTGAAAAAAGATGTTTTCACAACTACTGACCTCCTTCTATATCTGAGGGTTGCACATCTGGTGATTCAACCAAACAAAAATTCTTAAAAATCAATAGAAAGAAAGTATAATACACATAAAAAAAACCACAGCATTATGACTATTTACAATGAATTCCTGCTGTATTCAGTAATATAAATAATCTACTCAAGATGTAAAACACACAGAAGAAAGTACATAGGTAAAAGTGGAAAAGTACACCATCTATAGAAGGGGCTTGATCATTCGCAAGTGTTTTCTTCAACAGGGGTTCCTAGAACTGACCTCCAATACCAAGGGACAGTTGTACATCTATAGGGCTTCTTCTTGCTGTAAGTTCTCTGATGAAACATGAGGTGTGACTTATAGCAAAACCTTTCCCCACAGCCATTACATTAATTGTGATATTCCCCTGTGTGAATTTGTTCATGTCTATTATGGTGAGTTCCAGTAAAATGTTTTCCTGCATTCCTTACATTCACATGGTTTCTAACCTATGTGAATTCTCTGGTGCCTGCTGAGATGTGACTTTTGGTTAAAAGTTTTTCCACATTCTCTACATTCTTATGGTTTCTCACCTGTGTGAGTTTGTTGTTGAATGCTGACTTGTGACTTTTGGTTAAAAGCTTTTCCACAGTCTTTATTTTTTAAGAAAAACTATAATCAATAACAATACAACCATACAGAATAATAAAAATAAAAAAAATATGGCATAACAACAATTTATATAGCAGTTACATTGTATGTCATATTACAAGTTACCTAGAGATGATTTAAAGTTTATAAGACGATGTGTGTAGGTTATATGCAAAGGAAAGGAGAAGGTATTGAAAACCTATTCAATGAAATAATAATGGAAAACTTTCCAGGTACTGGGAGAGATATAAACTTTCAGATCCAAGAGACTCAAAGATCCCCAAACAGATTCAGTCCATAAATGTCCTCTCCAAGACACATTGTAGTCAAACTGTCAAAAGTCAAAGACAAAGAGAGAATCCTGAATCCAGCAAGAGAAAAGCATCAAGTCACCTACAAGGGAGTTCTCATCAGACTAACAGCAGATTTCTTAGCAGAAATCTTATGTTTCAGGAGAGATTGGAATGATATATTCAAAGTGCTAAAGAAAAAAACTACCAGCCAAGATTACTATACCCAACAAGGTTATCCCACAGAAATGAAGGGGAAATGGCACATTTCCCAGAAAAACAAAAACTTCAGGAGTTCATCATCACATGACCAGCACCACAAGAAATCGTCAAGGGAGACCTACATCTGGAATCAAAATATGATAATCACCACCATAAATAAACAGGAAAGAACAAAACCCACTGGCAGTGCAAATATGCAAAGGACAAAGAAATAGAAAATATATATTTCCACTTCAAAAAACCAACAAACACTGAAGACAAACAAAAAAAGGAAAGAAAGGAACAAAAGGTATTTCAAACAAAGTATTCAAAAATCAATAAAATGTCAGGAGTAAGACAACATATGTCAATAACAACCCTAAATATAAAAGGACTGAATTTCCCCCTCCAAAGACATAGACTGGCTTCATGGATTAAAAAACTAGACCCAACCATATGCTACCTGCAAGAAACTCACCTCACCTGTAAAGACTCACATCCTAACAGTGAAGAGATGGAAAAAGATATATCACACAAATAGAAACCAAAAGTGAGCAGGAATAGAGATTCT